AATCCCGATGAAAAGAGTTTATACCAACCTTAACATTTTATCTTCCAAGCAATGTTCAAAAATTCTATGTTGAAGCATAGTCCACGCTCACTAGGTGGGAGAAAATTCTTCGCTTATTGGTGGATCCCAGCGAGTTGTGTACAATTTTCATTTGTAATCCAGTTCAGGGTAAAACATTCGAATCTCTTTTGCAGCTTATGCACGCTCAGAACCCCTATACATTGGCAAAAAACATTAAAACTACGAAGCTTCAAGACACTTACGCTTTTGACTTCGTCGCGAAACTGAACATCTTCAAGGAGTTCGTTTGCAGAAAAGATTGACTGCCTCGCCATTATTGTATGGAGCTGGCAGTTACAGTATATCCTTTCAACTGGACTGAAAGGAAGAGAAGCTTCGCGAAATGTTCAAATTGAATACCTCAACAGTGGAAACATACTCTTTTCCGACAGAAAACCACATGCTGAACTTCGTCATGACTACATTTTAGTGATAGAGTTTCTCCTTTCTCCACCTGCACACGTTGAGGCAGGTAGTAAACAGCTTGCATCCAATGATCACGCCACTAAAAATGAAGTTTTCTGTTCACACCACACATTGTACTAACAGACTGCAAGCTACACGAAAACTCCCTCTAGAGGGAAGTAGTTCGGAACAAGCAAAGACGTCATTGCGCACAAACTAGTAGAGTACTTCCTATCTAGCTCACTTCTTCATTTCCTCCTTTGCCTTAGTCCAGAATGAAGTTTTTCTGCGGTATCAGCTCTCAGGGCAATATCGACGGTAGATCTTGACCTTGGCTACCCCCCCCCTCCTCCATGAGTTCCTTTCCAGCGACACCTAGATCTAGTTGGAGCAAATCCTTGGTCCTGATAGTTATTTCCTTTGTAAGATCGTACGGAGTGCTTATGGTTCACCATTGATGTCCTTCACAAGGGGAAATGAGGTGTTCGAGGAGATTCGTTGCCTGATCGCTTTCTAGAGCACAGGTCGCGTGAGCCATCGGTAGCTAGCTGACTTTACAAGCACAACTGGGTCTTGGTGCGAATGTCGTGCACCTGTACCAATTACGGTGCTTCTTTGGCCGCCACCGGCGCAACTCGGATGGGTGAACTAAATCCTGCCATAGTAAGGCAAATAAAAACGCAAAAGCACTCACATGATAATCACGACTTGCCCATTTAGGAGACATATCAATCCAGTACCTGCCCGTTCCATCCATATCCAGATCCCACCTGGTGGTATCTTTTTTAATAAGGAAATTGCACTGTGTTAATCAGCTTACCACATCAAGATGGCATCCACTTGACCGGATTCTATACAGGGTGCAGCTCGATCGAATGATTCGTCGTACACGATTGACTCAGACGACTCGAAATCAAACCTTAAAAAACTCATTGGTCACGAGCTACGCTGGCCATACAGTTGGTATCACCCCAAAGGGGAAACACCGCCAAAAAAAACGAGTAAAAAGAAACAGCTAAGATTTCTAGACTGCATCTTAAATTATCCTGGCTGGCGAGCAAAACATACGTGAAGGCTAGAAAAGGTTCCGCCAGACAAGTGAACTGATTTGGTTTCAGCTGAGATAACTGCACGTCAAACACGGCCGATGTTCCAGGGCATTCACCAAGCGGATGGTCCTCTGAAAACAATCATGAAAAACTTTTGCAAATTGATATTCGAAGCTTTAGAATTCGGAAATTGAACGAAGGCAACATTCAACGATGGAAAGAAAAGGAAGCCAAGAAAGAAGCCAAAATAGGAATCACCTTCGGTCAACCGAGGGATTCGATTGAACTTGGAGAGAAAGGCACTTTCAACCGGCTGCACCCAAACTCGACCACGAGACGGCACTACACGACACAAGGCTAGAACATGTCCTAGATGCGCTGTTAATCAATTCTCTAGAAAACTGGGCATGAGATATAGGGCCAGAAACTTTTCTTTCTCCCACCTGCACATGACTGACGAGAGCCTCTTTGAACGTTCTCAGTGCACCTTCACCAATCAGTTCCGTATCGAAACACCTTCAATGAGCGCCTTGGCAAAATCCACCAAAACTGAGTTGACCTGGCTGACTAACCTCAGCAACAATTATGTTCGGCTTCGATGATAAAGGAGAGAGCTCGGTGGAGCGAGATG